AGGGGAGAGGGAAGGGAATTTAAGGGGGAAAAAGGGGAGGGATTTTGAGGAGCAAGTGTGAAAGACACAGGGATGAGGACTAGGGGGGAGGAAGTGGGAGGGAGGTGGGGAGACAGGACAGGGGGGCTGGGATGGGAGAAATAGACAAAAAACTGTACTTGAAATATAACTAAATAAAAATTTAAAAAAGCACTGCACTGATAATATATATATATATATATATATATATATTCAAAACCAAACATTTTTCCCCAACTCAGAAAATTGACAGATGACTCTCCCTGTTGCTCAGGCTAAAATTGCTGTCATCCTTGATGCTTCTCTTTTGCAGCTCCACCTAATCCATGAACAGTTAATTGCTCTATTCTAAATAACACACTCCAGAATTAGATTACATTTTTCCACCTCCACTGCTACCAAGCCACCATCATTTCTCACCTGAACTATTGCAATCACCTCTAAACTGATCACTCAGCTCCTACTGTATTTTTTCCAGTTTATTCTAAACACAGCTGTCAGAGTTACCCTGTTAAAATATTAGACTATGTCACTCAAAGTGCTCATAACCTTTTGAAATGTAAAAACATTATCTTTTATTAAATTTATTGGGGTAAACCCTATAAAATTATATAGTTTTCAATTGTATAATTCTAAAATACATAATCTGTATATTGTATTGTGTACCCACCACCCAAAGTCAAATCTTCCATTACCTTTCACCCCTCCTTTACCCTTTACTAGCCACCCCCCAACCTCATCCCTTTGGTAACCACCATACTGTTGTCTGTGTCTACAAGTTTTTGTTTGTTTTTCTTATTTGTTTATTTGTTCTTTTAGTTTTATCTCACATATGAGTGAAATTATATGGTTCTCGACTTTTTCTGTCTGATTTATTTGACTTAGCATGATCCTCTCAAGATTCATCCATGCTATTGCAATCCACTGACCCACAGCAGCCAGGGCTATCCATGCTATTGCAAATGGCAGTATTTCATTTCTTCTTATGACTGAGTAGTATTCCATTGTAGACTATAGCTTTCCCCTTTGGGTATTTTTGGGTCCCTTGTTGAATATGAATTGACTCTATATGGAGGGGTTTAACTCTGGGCTGTCTATTATGTTCCATTGGTTTATGTTTCTATTTTTATTCAATTACCATATTGTTTTCATTACTATAGCTTTGTAGTATAGTTTGAAACCAAGAAATGTAATACATCTGATTTTGTTTTTCCTTCTCAGGATTGCTTTGCCTCTTTGGGGGTCTTTCGTGGTTCTATACAAATTTAATTTTTTTCTATTTCTGTGAAAAAATGCCATTGGAATATTAATAAGTACTGTGTTGAATCTGTGCATGATTTTGGGTAGTATGACCATTTTAACAATATTAAGCCTTCAAATCCATAAATACACAGTGTCTTTACATTTGTTTGTATCTTCTTTGATTTCTTTCAACAAATCCTTGTGGTTTTGTTGTACAGATCTTTCACTTCTTGGGTAAATTATCACTAGGTATTTTATTATTTTTGATGCTATTGTATAATGAATAATTTTACTTATTTCTTTCTCATATTTTAAAAATATTTTATTTATTTTTAGAGAGAGGGGAAGGTAAGGAAAAAGAGAGGGAGAGAAATATCAATGCCTGGTTGTCTCTCACATGTCCCCTAATGGGGACCTGGCCTGCAACCCAGGCATGTACCCTGACTAGGCAGGGAATTGAACTCCTCACCCCTTGGTTTGCAGGCCACCACTCAATTCACTTAGCCACACCAGACAGGGCTCTATCTCATATTTTTTATTACTATTGTATAGAAATACAACTAGTTTCCATATGTTGATTTTATATCCTACAACTTTATTGAATTTGTTGATTATTTCCAACAGTGTTTTGGTTGAGTCTTTGGGATTGCTTACACACAGAATCATATCACCAAAAATAGTCACAATTTTAATTCTTACTTTCTGATATGGATGCTTTTTATTTCACTATGTTGCCTAATTGCTCTAGAAAAGATATCCAGTACTATATTAAATAATAGCAGTAAGAGTGGGCACGCTCATCTTCTTCCTGATCTCAGAAAAAGCTTTCGAATTTTCACCACAGAGTACAATGTTAGTTGTGGGTTTGTCATATATGAGCTGTATTATTTTGAGGTATGTCTCTTTTATACACAATCAATTGAGAGTATTTATCATGGGATGATGTATTTTTCAAATGATTTTTTAAAAATATATTGCAATGATCAGATGAGTTTTATTTTTCTTCATAATGTTTTGTATTACAATTATTGATTTGTGTATGCAAAACCATCTTTACATCTCAGGAATAAGCCTCACTTGGATGTGCTGTATAATCTTTAAAATCTGTTCTTAAGTTCAGATTGCAAACATTTTGTTGAGAATTTTTGCATCTATGTTCATTAGGGACATTGGTCTACAGTTTTCTTTTCTTGTAGTGTCCTTATCTGGCTTTGATATCAGGGTAATGCTGGCCTCACTGGATAGCTCTGAAAGTGTTTCCTCCTTTTCAAATATTTGGGAGAATTTGAGAATTGACATTAATTCTTTTTTCATTATTTTTATTGTTTACACTATTACAGATGTCCCCATTCCAGCCCTGCTCTAACAACATCTTCCTGCTCTTGCCTTCCCCCTTTCCTCTGACCATCACCACCCCGTTGTCTGACTCTATGGCTTATGCATATATATTCTTGGATAATTCCTTCACCTTCTGTCATCCAGTTCCCCTTTCCTACTCTCTTCTGACAACCGTCAGTCTGTTCCATGTATCCATGCCTCTATTTCTATTTTGTTTGTCAGTTCATTTTGTTCATTAGATTCCACATATAAGTGAGATTATATGGTATTTGTCTTTCTCTGACTGGCTTATTTCACTTGGCACAACAATCTCCACATCCATTCATGCTGTTGCAAAAGGTAAGAGTTCCTTCTTTTTATGGCTATGTAGTATTCCATTGCATAAATGTATCATTTTTTTTAATCCACTCATCTACTGATGGCCACTTGGGCTGTTTCCAGATGTTGGGTATTGAAATAACAGTACTATGAACATAGGGTTACATATATTCTTTTGAATTGGTGTTTCAGAATTATTAGGCTATATTCCCAGAAGTAGGACCACAGGCTCAAAAGGCAGTTCAACCTCAATTTTTTTTTTTTTATGAAACTCCATACTGCTTTCCACACTGGTTGCATCAGTCTTCATTCCCACCGACAGTACACTAGGGTTCCCTTTTCTCCACATCCTCTCCAGCACTTTGTTGATTTATTGATGATAGCCATTCTGGCAGGTGTGAGGTGATATCTCATTATGGTTTTAATTTGCACGTCTCTGATGATTAGTGACACTGAACATTTTTTTATATGTCTATTGGCTATTCGTATGTCCTCTTTGGAGAAATGTCTATTCAGGTCCTTTGACCATTTAAAAAAAAATTGGATTGTTTGTCTTCCTGGTGTTGAGTTGTATAAGTTCTTTATATATTTTGCAAATTAACCCCTTATCTGATATATCATTGGAAAATATGTTCTCCCATACAGTCGGTTCCATTTTTATTTTGTTGATTTCTTTTGCCACACAAAAACTTTTGAGGTTGATGCAGTCTCATTTGTTTATTTTTTCCTTGTTTCCCTTGCCGGAGTAGATATAATCAACAAAAATATTGCTACATAACATGCCTGAAGTTCTTGTGGTTCCTTCTCCTCTGTTGCTTTAAGATGTTTTTCTTTTATTATTTTCTTTCTTGTTTAAAGCACTTTCTTTAGCCAACCTTTAAAAGCAGGTCTGCTAGTGACAAATTCTTTGTTTTCATTTGTCTGAGGATGTCTTTATTTCCCTTAAAATTTTTTTCATTAAGAAAATTTATTTAATTATTGTTCAAGTACAGTTTTCTGTTTTTTTACTCCCATCCCAGTCCACCCCCCAGTGCTCCGCACTTCTCTCCCATTTCCACCCCCCTTAGTTGTTGTCCATGTGTCCTTTATACTAGTCCCTTAAGTTTTAAATGACAATTTAGTCAGATAAAGAAATCATGATTGACTGCTCTATTCTTTCAGTATTTGAACGATGTTAAAGTGTTACTTCCTTCTGGATTCTTATGATTTCAGATATGAAATTCACTGTCATTTGAATTAATATTCGTCCATAGCCAATGTGTTATTTCTCTCAGGCTCTATCAAGGTTTTTCTTTGTCTTTATTTTTCAGAAATTTTATTACAACAATTTCTTGGCATGGAGTTCATTGGGCTTTCCTTGTTTTAGTTTCACTCACCTTGTGAATCTGACCATTTGTATATTTTGTCAAATATGCTAAGTGTTCAACTATTATTTCTTCAAATACTCTTTCTGGCATGCTGCTGATACAAATGTTAAATTTTTGTTATTGTATCTCAGGTCCTGGGGACTCAGTTCATATTTTTCCCTTCTATTTTCTTTCTGTTGTTCAAATTGATAAAGTCCATTGATCTGTGCTTAAGTTTACCGACTCATTCTATCTTTTGCCACCTCATTCTACTAGTAAAGCCATAGAGCTTAGTATTTTTAAATACTTTCTGTTATTGGATTTGTCAGTGCTGTGATTTCCATTTATAATAACTTTTATTTCTTTGCTGAGATTTTATATTTTTTCATTGTCTCAAGGGAATATATAATTGATTATTGGAGCACCTTTTAATGGATACTTTAAAATCCTTTCCAGAGAATTCCAACAATTCAAAATCTCAGTGATGGTATAAGTTGATTACTTTTTCTCATTCAAGTTGTGAATTTAAAAAATTTTTTAAATTTGCTTTTTAAAATATATTTTATTGATTATCCTATGACAGTTGTCCCATTTTTTCTCCCTTTTATTCCCCTCTGCCCTGTACCCACTTCCCACCATCGTTTCCCCACCTTAGTTCATGTCCATGGGGCATACATATAAATTCTTTGCTTCATTTCTCATACTATTGTCTATTTTCTACCTACCAGTTATGCTTCTTATTCTCTGTACCTTTTCTCCCATTCTCTCCCCAGTCCCACTGCTGATAACCCTCCATGTGATTTCCATTTCTGTGACTCTGTTCTTGTTGTAGTTGTTTCCTTCATTTGTGGTTTTTTTGTTTTGGGGTTTTTTTAGGTTCAGTTGTTGACAGTTGTGAGTTTGTTGTCATTTTACTGTTCATAGTTTTTGATCTTCTTGTTTTCCTTAGATAAGTCCCTTTAATATTTCATATAATAAGGGCTTGGTGATGATGACCTCCTTTAACTTCACCTTATCTGGGAAGCACTTTATCTGCCCTTTCATTTTAAATAATAGTTTTGCTAGATAGAGTCATCTTGGATGCAGGTCCTTGCTTTTCATGACTTGGAATACTTCTTTCCAGCCCCTTCTCACCTGCAAGGTCTTTTTTAAGAAATCAGCCGATAGTCTTATGGGAACTCCTTTGTAGGTAACTGTCTCCTTTTCTCTTGCTGCTTTTAAGATTCTCTCCTTATCTTTAATATTGGGTAATGTAATCATGACGTGCCTATTGGCTTTTGGTGTGACATGTAACTTCTTATTGTATCTTGAAATTTTATCTGTTAGGTTATTAGATGCTGGTCCTACTTAAATCTTTTCTTTTAGAAGGCAGTTATTCAGTTTAATTTTAGCATGAGGCCTTGGCCTACTTTAGTTGGCTGAGGTGGCTTTTATTGTGTTTTTCCCCATTACTGATGTTTTCATGATAGTTTAATTTCACAGGCACTCTGGCTTTATTCTGATTGATTTGGTGTGGTAAAGTCTCCCATTGGACCCTACTGGTGCTGCTTGAAGTGGTGGATAGGGTTTCCATAGGCCAGGTCTCCAGGTGTCTCTAGGTTCTGTGGCATCTTCAAGTGGAAATGGGGAGTATCATGGACACAGGGTCAAAGATGCTTCCCTGGAAGACATTTGTTGTGGCAGGAACCAACTCCCTGCAATGGATGATGAAGAGCATTTCCTGAGCCAGACATTTGTTTAGGTGGGATTCCTTTATTTGTGCCCCTTGGCTTCCCTGGTGCCACTGAGAAGGTGAGGGGATTCTGAGGCCTGTAGATTAAAGAGGTATCTGCTTGTCTTGTCCAATAATCTCAGGGTGATAGAAGTCTGAGGACCATTTGGGGTAGAAATGAAACTCTCAAGCCAGGCTGCCTTTTGAGGCTGGGTCTCTATTGCTAGTTTGATCTGCTCACCTAGGCATCTCTTAGCAGTCTTAGGACCTGAAGGGAAAAAGAGAACTTTCTCCCTCCTTCACAACCTTTCTCCCTCTTTTACACTCTTTCTGAAAATAAACAAAATAAAAATCTAAAAGAAAAATAAACTAAAAGATAATGGGATATCTCAGAGTTAAGGGAAACATTGACTCAGAAAGGGTAGGAATAAGGTCAGCTCTGGGTTCAAGAGCAATTTGTGGATCTTCTCTCAAGCCATGTTCTTGAAAGAGAGAAATTGTCCCAGCTGGGTCAGGGATCTTCCTCTGGAATAAGTTATTATGGCCAATGGAGTAGGTCTGCATAGCACAGATATCAGACATAGCCATTTCAGAACAACCCATGGTTTCAAACCACTTCCAAAGAAGGTAAATCCTTATTGTTTGGACATCTATTACATCCTATGTGAAAGGTACTGAAATCTAAAAGAGAGGAATGCAATTAAGGGATTGAATCTACTTTTCCCAGAAAATTAATATTCCAAGCCTGTCATAGAAACTTTCTGACTTAGCCCTGACTGGTGTGGCTCAGTGTGTTGGGTGTTGTTTCACAAACTGAAAGGTCACCCAATTTGATTTCTTGTCAGGACATATGCCTGGGTTGTGGGCTAGGTCCCTGGTTGGGTGTGTGCGAGAGGCAGCCGATTGATGTTTCTCTTGCACATCGATGTTTCCCTCCTCTTTCTCCCAGTGTTCCCCTCTCTCTAAAAATAAATAGATAAATAAAATCTTAAAAGTAAAGAACTTTCTGACATCAGTAAGCTAAACTAAGGGAAATTACAGAGAATTTCTGAAGTAGAAGGAACCTTTCGGAACCATTAGTTCGAACTCATTGTTTGATGAAATATACGAGGCTCTTGCATATAGTCTTATATATAGTCACACAGCAAATGAGTAGGTTATAGGAAACTTCTGACCTTTACTTCTGTGAGACCTTTCTTTGCCTATGCTCCACAGTGCTTAGCACTATAGTGAGAACACAACCATGGTATCTTTCAAACCTCCTCAGGATATCATGCTTATGTATAGGTAGCAATCTAGCAAGAGGTATCTGTCATCCATGACCAGAAGTCCGGAAAATTTGGCCAAGTGAGCAGGTTTTATGATCGGGTCTATAACTGAGTTAGGACACACAATTGATAAACAGTCAAGGATATGTCAATGATAGCTTAAGATAAGCCTAGAAGACAGGATTCTTATCCTAAGTTTTCTCTCTTGAGGATAAATGGCCCTAGGTCTTTCCATTGGAAAGGGGAAGTGACTGCCTCATATGACTTGTATCAAGTTCATTGCTTACAGAATTGCTCAAAGTACCCTTTAGTTTTATGTAATAAATGTCCCTAATTATAGTTGCATCCCTTCATCTTTAACCAATTAACATCCAGCAAACTGGGGTGCCTGCTCTTCCCAATATCATGACTGACCAGTAGGTTACAAAGTAGTGGGAAGGTATATATATCTGGAGCTATTCTACCTGCGTTCAAATCCTAGCTTTACCATTTCCTAAGGATGTGATTTTTGGCAGGTCAGTCTATCTTTTTAGGCTTTTGTTTTCTCACCTGTAAAATGAGGATAATAATAATAACTATGTCATGGGGAGGTAGTGAGAATAAAATTAGTTAATACAACCTTGGGGGCATGGGAGAGCATATATAGATATTCTGACTCCAAAGTAAGAAACACATCTAGAGACAAAGAGGCCCTCAAGAACTATGCTCCCTAGCACTCACTTGACAAAACTAAGGACACTTAAGCCAACCACCAGCAATCAACTACAAACCCTAAAAGCCAAAATAAAAGTATACTGCCACTGCTGCAAATACCATTGCTAACTCAGCTCACAGGGAAGGTATCCAGATGGATTTTATAAGGGAGAATAGATAGGGAAAGTGGTTTATAACAGGTGTGTCTCTTTTGTTATCCTCATTTTTTACTTGAATGTTGTTTTAAAAAGTGATAACACCCAGCTACATCCCAGAAGATATCACCTTCCATCATTCTTTCAACAAATATTAATTGGGTCCCTACTATATGGCAGCCATTGTTCAGCACGCTGAGTTTAGAGCAGAGAACAAACAGATTAAGTCCCTGCCCTTAGTAAGTTTATACTCTAGTGGGAGAGAGACTTTACCAAAGAAGCAAACACACATATGAGGTTGTTTTAGATTGTACTTAGTGCTATGATAAAAACAAAATGGGCCCTGGCTGGTGTGGCTCATTGGATTGAGCACCAGTCTGCAAACCAAATGTTCGTTGGTTCCATTCCCAGTCAGGGCATATACCTGCATTGTGGGCCAGGTCCTCAGTTGGGGGCATGCAAGGGGCATCTGATCAGTGTGTCTCTCACACATTGATGCTTCTCTTCCTCTCTTTCCCCTCTCTCTAAAATAAATAAATAACATATTTAAAAATCAAAATGAGATAAGGTCACAGAGAGTGCCTGGGACATGGGAGTTACTTTAATCTGGGTGATCAAGGAAAGCTTTCCTGATATCTAAGTGATAGTGGAGCCTGCCATGAATAGAACCAGACAGAAACAAAAAGAAATGCAAAGTCCTTGAGGTTAGACAGATCTTAGCACACTGAATAAAAAAGAGATCAGTGTGGCTAGTAGAGAGTGAACAAGGTTTCTTTTTATTTTTTATACTTGAACAACATTTTTTTCAAATTAAAAAATTTTTTATTTAGTTATTTTTCAAGAACATTTTTTCTGTATTTCTCCCATCCCAGTCTCCCCCCCACCCTTGCCCCGTCCTCCCCACCTCCCTCCCATTTCCTCCCCTCCTAGTCCTCATCCCTGTGTCTTTCATACTTGTTCCTCAAAATCCCTCCCCCTTTTCCCCCATTTTTATAAATCAAGTCAAAGGGGTAGGCAGGGGCAGGGTGTAAAGGTGGTGCCTGGGGCCAGGGTGGTGTTAATGCAAATGGTGAGAATTGGTCAGATTCTGGACATATTTTTCTGATAGAGTCAAACAGGATTTCTTGAAGAATTGGATGTGAAGTGTGAGAGAAAAAGAGTCAAGGATTTCTCAATGGTTTTTTTCCCTGAGCAACCAGGTGTTGCTATTAACTGGAGTGGAGAATGTTATTACATATGATTTCTGATGGATCATTTTGGAGTTCCACTAATTGTGGATGGGACCTCAAGGTCCTTTTCTGCTTACTTAAGGAGTGGAGTGGTGGTGTGGGACTATTATTTTGGGTGAGTTAGAGGCATCAAGCACATTTCTGGGAACCCCCACCTTCTTCCCCCCTATTCTGGTCCAAAACGTGGAGGCTTAAATACAGATGAGAGTTATGTGGAAACTGAAATACAGATGAGAGTTAGAGGAGACTGAGTATACCGGGTCAGGCCAAACTGACAGGCCTCAGAGACAGGAGATCTGCTATAGCCACTTCAGTCCAAAAACTGTAGGGAAGTGGGCGGCGCCAAAGAGGACGCTGCAGAAACTTTCTTGGCTATCTGGCAGCCTAGGGAACCACTTTCTCCCAGACACAAAGTAAAGAAAGGAGATGGAGTTGGGTATGGCGTGGCCTGGCCGGCCCGGAAGGACTTTGGGTGGAGCGGACTGTGAAAGCTTTGGGGCAGAGGGGGAGGGGAAGCTTCCAGGAGCAACTAACCTCAGCTTCCTAAACTCAGCAGAAAGGTCGGAGGCATTGTTGGAAAGGCCAGGAACCCTGTGATTCTGTCTGCCCGCCAAAGACGAACGAAAACCCAAGTTGTGCGATGCAGCTTTAAAGGGGCTGGTGATTGACAGAATGTGTAGCAGTGGATGGGGTGGAGCCGCTGGGTGGGGTCTGGGACCGGCAGCTGGGAGAAACCAAAAGGAAGAAAAAAGAAAACCATTGCCCCTGATATCGCTAATGCCTGGCGGAGAAAGCTAGCCAGAAGGGGAGGAAAAGGGGGGGTTTTAGATCTCACCTCCACTCCTATCCACGGTCAACTCTCTCAAACCCTTCTGTCTCCTTTGGAGATAATTAAAATCGAGTATACACCGGCCCTCGTCGGTGCCCATTCCCTCTAACTCTCCACTGAAGTAGGTTTGTTGTACGAGGGAGTGAGGACCCCCGAGTCCGTCAGCTCAACCCCAGCCCCGCCCCGTCCGTTGGCCCTGGCCCCAGGCTGGGTGGAGAGGATGCCTTCGGAGGCGCAGAATGCGAAAGTAAGTCTCTTTCATTTTGCCTACCCTCCTCCTTCCTTCTCCTTTACCCCCCTCACTGGGGTCTCCGCTGGGCAGCAAAGGAGCCACCTTATAGAAGGAGACTCTTTCAAGGAAGATCCGGAGGGTGGAGCAGGGTGGGGTAAGAAAGGGAGGGAAGGGGAGGAGGGGTGGCGCTAGGGGAGCTGCCATCCACGGAATATGCGCGCTCAGAGTTTTGATGTTTGTGTGGTTTGAGACTGGATTTCCCTTCAGGTCATTACAGCCTCGACTTACCCTCTCCAGGCGTTCTTTCTTTTTGTCACACTCCAGCATCCTTATCAGGTTGCTTAAAGCCCCTAGCTGTGAGTTGGGAGGGCTCCATCTTGCCTGGCTTCTTAAAGGGACAGTGTTCTAGTTCAATTGAGGGAAATCTGTACTGGAAATTAAATTTCGAGAAGGACAACGGTGACTTGCCTTACTATGACACTATGAGTGTTGGAGGAATTTGTATGGAGAGGACATCTTTTTCTCCCTCATACCAGCCTCCAAATTTGGTTCTAATATCTAGTCGATTCTTAGAATGTGCACCTTAAGTTGCACATTAGTTAACTGCAGTCAGTTAGCAGTTTTAGCTGAATGGAAAAATGTTTGTTTCCTAAGAGGTGCCATAGCAGTGCAGATGACTTGAAAAAATTAATTCATTCTAGAAATACTTATTTGTATGCTAATTTATTTGAAAGCTAAATTCTTTGCCTGTGGCTGATCCCACTGCTGAGCAGTGTCTATTAATATGTCAAGGCCGTGCAGAGTGGTGTCACTGACTCCTTTCTTATCAGATCAATGACCAAGGTTTCGTCTTAGAATATAGGGATGAATGTTGAATTTGATTAGAGTATTTACCAAGCATCCATCACATCAAAGTTTCGATGGTTTCTGTTTATTGTCTATCCTTTAGTACCAGGCATCCCTCTGCCCAAGTCCAAGTGGCTGGGGCGATAGGTCCAGCTGAAAGAGGTAGGAGCTCAAGTCAAAATGGAATACAAAAGTAAAACAGCAGTATGCTTCAATAAGGAAGCCAAGGAAGGCTACCTTGGATGGTCTGCTATTCCCATGTCCATGTCCAGTCAGGAAGATTGTGTTGGGGAGGAGGGTTTCACCAGTTCCCTTCTGATGTTAAATAAAAGAACTGGTGTGGTAGAGACATGTTAGAAGGCCGCAGATGGACCAGTGACGTCTCTTTCATGTTTGTCTCTCTCATCTCTCTGTTTAGGGAGGGTGGCAGGATTGGGTGGAGCCTAATGATATCCTACAGGTTAACGAGATGAAAACGTGTTGTTTGAGGCTTTGGGCTAGTATTTCACTCCTAAAGTTTCTATTTCATCAATAGAATGCCACAGCTCCCAGTGTTCTGCAATTTACTAGTTCAGCTGTCACAGAGCCCCTCCCTTCTTTAATGTGTTGGGTTTCATTGCATTCCCAGTGCCAACTCTCATCAAGAGCATGTGTTAGTTCTAGGTTCCTAGGCAACATTTAACTAAAGCACCTTCCTCCATCCCCTCTCTCCTCCATTGGTTTTCCAAACCTCAAGGCAACCTTATCCTGAACGGCCATATCATTGAGTCCACTAGATTCAGATAAAGAAGAAAGCTTCACTTAGGGTTATTTCTCCCTAAAGTCACTGACCTTTGGGGTCCTAAAAAAAAAGGAACATTAATTCAACTGGAACTCTTCTGATTACTTTCGTCAGTGGGAGTACAGTCTTGTTGCAAAGCCAAGTCCAAGAACCACTTGTACGTGTCAAACCCACTGAACTCACTATCCGCAGCCTTGCATGGAGGGTGGAGAAGGATTTATATGTTGGTACCATAGCCAGCCTCCTGCAGTTAGTATGCATGGAATATGTTAGAAACAGCTATGATTCCATTCCATTTATGATTCCATTTGATTGTCCCTTTGTGTTCATGTTGGTTTGTTTTCCTTTAGGAGAGTTTCTAGTTGTAGGATATGGAAACTAGGCAGTTCTTAGCTGTCATAAAATTCCATTCCTGAAATATGGTTATTTTCTTCTTAGGACAATGAAAGGTTTGTGAACCCACTAACAAGTACCACAGACAAGCAATAGAAATTCTTTTCCAAGGGCTTCAAGTGGCTTCCCCAGAGAAATTTAAATTGTTTGCTGTTATTTATTCTGTTTCCTGGGGTTGTGGAGAATTTTTATCTACTTGTAGGCAAAAGGATTTCATGATGGATAAGTGTAAAAAAAAAGATACTTTGTGCGCTCTCTCTTTCTGTAGTAGAGAGTAGAAGTAGAAGTAGTTTTGACTCCCAAGTTCCCTTCTCAAATGTTTGCATCTGATGGACTAGGCTGTTTTTGCCTAGACCAGAACAGCTTGCCCATACATTTACTTTGGTTTCAGTTCCTTCCTAGTTGTTGCTTAGCCTTCAAGGGTAAGGAGTTGTGATAAACAAAGGTATCAAAACAAAAGTACATTGTTTTATGATATTCATTAATTAACTAATTCAACAAATACTTAGAATCTGCTCTGTGCTGTCACTGCACAGACTGGAATTTTAGCAATGAGCAAAAAAAGAAAAGCCTCCTGCCCTTTTGGAGATTATGTTCTAATGATCGTGTGTTGGTGGAGTGGAAAGCCAATAAACAATAAAGGTATTTGTTAGGTGGGGATAGGTGGGAGAAAAAATGTAAGGCACTTGAGATTGGGGAGATATATTTAATATAGGGCAGTTAAAGAAAGTTTCTCTGACATAGTAGTATTTAAAAATATATCTGAATGAAGTGAGAGAGCCAGCAGTGAGAATACCTGAGGGGATGGTGTTCTAGACACAGGAAATAGATTGTGCAAAGGCTTGGTGTGTGCAAGGAAATGGCAAGAAGGCCATTATTATTGGAGCGGAGAAGAAGAGAGTGATAGGACATGTGGTCAGAGGGACAGAGAGGGCCTGATGATAAAGGACCTTATAAAGATTTTGGTTTTTATTCTGAGTAAGATAGGAAGCCATTTTTTAAAAAATATTTTATTTATTTATCTTTAGAGGGGAAGGGAAGGAGAGAGGGAGAGAAACATCAATGTATGGTTGCCTTTCGTGTGTCTCCTGCTGGGAACTGGCCTGCAGGGAACCGGCCTGCAACCCCGGTATGTGCCCTGACTGGGAATCGAACCGCGATTGTCTGGTTCACAGGCCTGAGCTCAATCCACTGAGCTACACCAGCCAGGGCATAGGAAGCCATTTTTAATGAAAATAATTAACAATTATTTTACTAAAATTTTACTCTAGTAAGGAGGATGAATCTTCAATTGTTCATTTTAACACAGCAATGTTGTTTATATTTTTATGCTTTGGATAGCATGTTCCTTTAAAGAAAAAGCTTAGTGAGCTTATTGCTGAAGTTATGTCAACTAATGGAATTTAATTTCATACTCACCATTGTTTTATAACATAATTATCTGAAAAATGCTTCAAACACATTTGAAACTACTTAAATATAAAAGTCTTTTCAATGCACTTTAATAAAAATTACAATAAATTTCTTTTTTTTAAAAGATTTTATTATTTATTTTTAGAGAGAAGGGAAGGGAGAGAGAGAAACATCAATGTGTGGTTGCCTCTCACACGTCCCCACTGGGGACCTGGCCTGCAACCCAGGCATGTGCCCTGACTGGGAATCGAACAGGCTACCCTTTGGTTCACAGCCCATGTTCAGTCCACTGAGCTACACCAGCCAGGGCCACAATAAATTTCTTAGCACTAAAAGAATGTTTAACCTTATAAAGAAAACATTTCGTAGCACTGTTTTATTCTATCATGAAATTGTGAAAAAAATTTCCCTTGGAACTTTGTTTTTGAACTTTGAGTCTTGTTGGCACACATGATTTCTTCTAAGCTATTCACTATCCTATTCCCCAAGTTCTTCCCCATGGGGAACTATGTTTCATGTATCATTTAATCCTCACAACAATCATGTAGTGTAGGCACTATTACCATCTCTATTTTATAGAAAGGGAACCAAGGCACAGAAAAGTAAACCACCTCACCCAAGGTTATACAGCTAGTTAGTGGAAGAGTATCCATTCTCTCCTATACCTTCTGAGAAGTTGTCCCATCAGATTCCTTCTTTCTTGTCTTCAATTTCTTTTTCTTTGGTTCTCTCGCCCATCCAACTATCCCTAGCTAGTATAGTTAATATTTATTGAAGACCTACTCTGTACCAAGCCCTCTATTGAGCACCTTACATGTATCAATTCATATAATACAACAATCCTATCCAGTAAATACTGTTATTTCCTCCATTTTTCATTTAAGGAAATTGGGACACAGAAAAATCAAGCAACTTGCCCAAGTTTGCACAGCTAGTAAGTGGCAGAACTGAGTTTTAAGCCCAAGTCTACAAAGCCTATACCTTAATTATTATGCTATATTGACTATTCTTCAGCTTGCAGACAATTTCTTTCCTTGGTCTAAATCAATCTTTCTTTAACAACACTCAAATTACCACCGTGTTTTTTTTTTTTTTTGCAGTTTCCATTTAAATTGTTACTGAAGCCACTTTTGCAAAGTTACCTAAATATCCCGTAAATGTTATGTCCAGTGCTCACTCTTTAGGTTTTTAACATACTTGATGTTCTACTGCATTTGAGGCTGCTGTACAAGGGGGTCCCCCCCCAAATTGTGTATTTATTACATGTTTAAACTTCAGTAACCTTCAAAGTACTCTCCATTTGATGCCATACACCTATTGAGACGTTTGTTTCCTCTGCTCAAAACAGTCGTTGAACTCGTCAAAGGCTCGTCAAGCCTCGTTGAACTCGTCAAAGGCTCGTCAAGCCTTTTAGTGCTTCTGCCATTTTTTTTGTTTGTTTTACCTCCTCCACATGGGCAAAATGTTTCCTTTAAGGACTATCTTCATGGAAGGGAGAGTCACATGGGTTGACGAGGGGTGAATAGGGAAGGTGTGGCATGGGAGTTATGCCATTTTTGGTCAAAAATGACTGAACACTCAGCTCATTGTGGGCAGGTACACATATATATCACCCATCATGAAATGAGCAAACGTGTTGAAAGAATTAAAAAAAAAATGCACTGAAACTGTCCAACCCAGGGCTTTGTGTTCTGGCAGTTTTTTGATTATTGCTTCAATTTCACCAGCTGTTATCAGTCTGTTCAGGCTTTCTGCTTCTTCTTGATTCAGTTTTGGAAGATTATATTTCTCTAGAAGTTTTTCCATTTCACCTAGGTTATCAAATTTCTTGGCATATAATCATTCATAGTAATTTCTTATAATCCTTTGTATTTCTGTGGTATCAGTTGTAATGTCTTTTTTTAATTTCTGATTTTATTTATTTGGGTTCTCTCTGTTTTTATCTTGATGAGTCTGGTTAAAGGCTTGTCAATGTTGTTTATCTTTTCAGAGAACCAGCTCCTGGATTTATTGATCCTTTGAATTGTTCTTTAAGTCTCTATGTCATTTCATTCTGCTTTGATCTTGATTATTTCCTTCCTTCTACTCCCTCTGGGCTTTGTTTATTGTTGTTCCTCTAGTTCTTGTATTTGTACGGTTAGGTCGTTTGTTTGAAATGTTTCTATCTTTTATAGGTAGGCCTGTATTGCTATGAACTTCCCTCTCAGGACTGCCTTCTGTGTGTTCCATGGGTTTTAAACTGTTGTGTGTTGATTTTTGTTTGTTTCCAGAAACTTCTTGATTTCTTCCTTGATCTCTTTGGTAACCCATTCATTGTTTAATAGCATGTTATTCATTCTCCATGTGTTTGAGAGTGTTTTTGAGTTTTTTTCCTTGTTCCAGGTTGGTTTCTAGTTACAGGCCCTTGTAGTCTGAGAAGATGCTTGATATTTCAATTTTCTTGAATTTGTTGATGCTTGTTTTGTGTCCTATCATGTGGTCTATCTTTGAAAATGTTCCACGTGCTTTTGAAAAGAATGTATATTTTGCTTCTTTGGAATGACAGGTTCTATATATATCAGTGAAATGCCTTTGATCTAGGGCATTGCTCAATTCCTCAATATACTTGTTGATATTTTGTTTAGAAGATCTATCCATTTTTACAGTGGGGTGTTAAAAATCTCCTACTATAAATGTGTTGCTCTGTATATCTTTCTGGAAGTCCTCCAAGATTTTCCTTATATGTTTGGGTGTTCCTATGTTGGGTGCATATATGTTTATAATATTTATATCTTCTTGATGGATTCTTCCCTTGAGTATTATGAAGTGACCTCCTGTGTCTCTTTTTATGGCCTTTGTTTTGAAGTCTATTTTGTCAGATATAAGTATTGCTACCCCAGCATTTTTTTCCTGTCCATTTGCTTGGAATACTTTTTCCATACCTTCACTCTCAGTGTGTGTAGGTCTTTTATTCTGAGGTAGGCCTCTTGTAGGCAGCATATATGCGGGTCATGTTTTGTCATCCATTCAGCTACCCTATGTCTTTTGATCGGAGCACTTAATTCATTCATATTTAAGGTTATTATTGATAGGTACTTATTCATTGCTCTTTCACTCCGTTTTACCTCTGTTCCTTGCTCTCTCACTGTCTTTCTTCCTCTTCGTCAAGCAGTCTCTTTAGCATGTCTTGTGGAGCTGGTTTGGTGGAGCTGTATTCTTTGAGCCTTCTTTTGTTTGGGAAGCTCCTTATTTCACCTTCCATTGAGAGCCATGCTGGATAGAGTAGTCTTGGTTGCAGGCCTTTGTTTTTCATTACTCGAAATATTTTTTGCCATTCCCTTCTGGCTTGTAATGTTTCTGTTGGGAAGCCAGCTGCTAGCCTTATCGGGGCTCCCTCATATGTTACTTCCTGTTTCTCCCTTGCTGCCTTTAAGATTCTGTCTTTGTCTTTAAATATTTCCATTTTAATTATGATGTGTCTTGCAGTGGGCCTCCTTGAGTTCCTTTTGATTGGGATCCTCTCTGCTTCCTAGACTTGTGTGACTTTTTCTCTCATGAAATTAGGGAAGTTTTCCATCATTATTTTTTCAAACAGGTTTTCTATTCCTTGATTCTCTTCTTTTCCATCTGGTATCCCTGTTATACAGATATTATTCCCTTTCATGTTGTCCTTAATTTCCCTTGACTCCTCTTCCTTCTTTCTGAATCTTTTCTCCTTTTCTTGGTGTTTTTTTTCCTAACTTGTTTTCCAGTTTGCTGATTCGTTCCCCTGCTTCACTGAGCTTGCTTTTGATTCCTTATACTGTGTTCTTTAATTCAGAAATTGTATTCTTCATTTCCTCTTGGCCCTTGTTGATTGTTGCTATGTCCCTTTTTATGCTGATATAGTTTGTAGTAAGTTCCTTGTAGTTTCCCTGTAGTTTTTGATAATTCTCACTGAGATCATTGAGCTTCCACTGTTTTGAACTCATTATCTGATAGTTGACTTGGCTCTATTTCATTCAGCATTTTTTTCTGAGGATTCTTCTTTTCCTTTTGATTGGGTCTGTTTGTTTTTCGTTATTTGTAGGACTCTTCTTGCTTGCTTCTGCTTCTTAAATTAATCTGTTTTGACTTTCTGACTTTGTGGTGTGAAATTCTGTGGTAGGAGGCCTGTGAGTTTCAGTGGTGCAGTCTCCTTGATCTCCTGAACCTGATGCTCTTGGGATGGCCTTTATGGCCTTTATGCAGTTTCTCTGGATGTAACTGGATTTTGATTGTTGTTGGATTGTTGGGTCATTCTTTAGTGGGTCCTTCCCTCCAGCTGGTTGACTGAGGATCACTCTGCCAACCACATCTTGTGTGCTGTTGTGCAGGTGCTACCAGAACAAAGCCACACAGCCCAGGAAACAAACCCATACCTGCAAATATAACTGCCCCCCACAATCCCACTATCAACAGCAAATGAGCCTGTATTAATAAGGGTGTCAAGAGATTAAGACTTATAAGAAAGGAGAGTATATATAAGATGACCTACTGAAAGAAAAATAATTTTGCAAAGCTAGAGGGAGGAGCACTACTAAGAGTTGGGATTTGGAGTAATGGTAAAGATAAGGTAAAATTTACCTTATGAATAAAAAAGGGAATGAAGAATGTGGAATGGAGTATGAGAAGGGAAGGGTATAGCATTACGTTTAAACAGGAATTAAAATAATGTAAAATAAAGTGAGAGAGAGAGAGAAAGAAAAAGAAGAAAAAATAGTAATGAATAAAAATATAGGAGCCACAATGAAGAGGAAGATCCACCACAGTACCATCACTAACAAGTGAGCTAAAATTAATATAAGTGGTATGTGAATAAGAGGGAAAAAAGAAACACATTCTAAGAGATGTTTAGAACAATGGTAAGTGATTTTGAAATGATAGAGGTAGAGGGAATACTGAGAGTGAGGAACAAAAACCAGGCTAAGTGAGGGAAAAATTAAAATTTGGGATGTAAGGAAAAAAGAAAAAAGAAAACAAGGAGAATAAAAATAAAAGGACAGGATGAAAGAGAAATAGAAGAAAGACAAAAAGGGAAAAACAGGCTAAGATGGCAAAATTAAAATTTGAGACAAAAAAGAGTAGAAGAGGGGAGCAGGAAAATTTGATATTTGAAATACAGAATTAGTGAAGCTTTAGAGATAAAATTGAAAAAACAATGCGACAACAACTACCCTACCTACAACCAACTAGCAAAGATTGTTAAAGGTGTAGAGAGAATGCAGATATTTTAATAGGGAAAAAGGATGTGAGAAGACCCTTGACAAGAAAATTGGTTTTGTGTGTCTGGATGGGGGAGAAATAGTAAGAATGTGGAATGAAAACAAGTTGTAGCAAGAGAGAAAACAAAATTTGAAATAAAAATAAGGCAAGGAAAGAGGAAGGTTAAATGGGCTAAGAGGAGGGAAGGTCAAACAGTGTAAATTAAAATACACTATAGTATAAAATCGAGTGATTTAATATGTACAAACTTGTTGGACAGGAATGTTAAAAAGCTATGCAGGAAACAAAATATCACAAATCACAAAGAAAACCAAAGTAGCTTTGTTTTCGGTAATCTCTTATAGTTACCATGGGTTTTTTTTTTTTTTTTCTTTCTGCATCTGCCTCTGGTGATGTCAGGTGTTGAGCCCATCTGACCTTAGGCAGACAGTTTCATACTTCTAGGGACCTGCGGTTCCTGGTTATCTGTTTTAATTGTTATCTATTCTCTCAGAACTCGGCGGTCCAGTTGAAGCACCTTAGGGTGAGGCCGAATCCATTTTGGGGTTGGGCTATTGTTTCCCCTCAGGCTGCTTCTCAGAGGGGAGTGGTCAGCCTGAGCAGGATAGTTGCTTCAAATGGGGGTTGGCTCAGCACCAGGATCCTGGTGGCAGCTCTCTCAGTTCTCTCCTCAAGGCTTCAGTCCCCAGTCTCTCAAGTCCACTCTGCTGACCTCTTTGCCAGGGGTCTTCTGTCCCTGGTTCTCTCCTTAGATGGTTAATCTGGTCCGTAAGCACGTACCAGTCAGGCTTAAATACCACAGGGCCAGGGCAGAGTCCTTCCTGGGGTTGGGACTATTACTTCCCCTCAGGCTACTGCCGCTCAGAAGGGAGTGGTCTGCCTGAGCAAGACGTCTACTGCCGTCAGTCAGTCCGGGAGAAGTCTCAGTGAAGTCTCGGCTCGGAGATCCTGGTGTCTACTTTCTCCGCTCTCTCCGTAAAGCTTCCATCCCCAGTCTCTCCTCCGGCATCAGCAGCCCTTCTGCCCCGTCTTTGCCAAAGCCCAGGGTAAGTGGCTAAAAATTAAAATTTGTGTGTTGGCTCTTTAAATGGCTACTTGCATCTCCAGCCTTCTGTCTCTGGCAGAGAGTAACCCTGCCGCTTTTCACTGCTAGTTATTATCTGTGTACTTTTTGGACTCTGGTGCTCTAGGTTGGGGATCCTAGCTTAGGATTTAGACCCCACATTTCTCAGGGGGATCCAATCGGACGCTTAATTACCCTCCAGCGCGCTGCCCATGGGTGCCCAGCCAGCTCTCTCGAGTCTCTACCGCATTCCTTACTAGACAGGTTGTGCCAAAGCTTGTTTTTCCGTCTGTCCGAAGTTATCGGCTTTTCTCTGGCTATTGCTCAGTTGTTTGTTAGGTGTGGTTTCTCCACAATTGAGTTGTAATTCCAGATTGGCCCTGGGAGGTGGTCAGTGTGACTTCCATTTACTCCTCCGCCATTTTCCCTCTTTTCTGAAACACCAGTTCAGAAGAACCTATGCACCCCAATGTTCATAGCAGAGTTCTTTATAATAGCTAAGTATTGGAAGCAACCTAGGTGCTCATCAATAAATGAGTAGATAAAAAATGGGGTACATTTACACAATGGAATACTATGCAGAAGAAAGAAAGGAGCTCCTATTCTTCAAGACAACATGGATGGAACTAGAGAACATTATGCTAAGTGAAATAAGCCAGGTGGTGAGGGACAAATACCATATGTTCTCACCCATAAGTGGAACGTAATCAACAAAACAAACAAGCAAGCAAAATAGAACCAGAGACATGGAAATAAAGAACAAACTGACAGTGACCAGAGGAGGGGAGGGGGATAACAGGGGATAGAAGGTAAAGGGTCAAATGGACAATGACAGTGAGTGGGGGGAAGGACTGAATGTGGGAGGTGAGGGTAAGTAGGGCAGGGGGAGAGTAATGGGGCGGAAATGGGGACAACTGTAATTGAACAATAATTTTAAAAAGGGAAAAAAAATTCACTGAAGCCAAATGCAGTCTCTCACAACAATGCCAGCTAGTACATTGATACAGATGGGATACAGATAGTACATTGATACACTCACTTATCTGGGGAAGCCTGTATTACAAGGGTTAATTCTTATAATACAGAAGTTAATTCTTGTATTTTGGGGTCCCCCCTCATACATTCTTTCCTTCTTGTTTTCTTCGACAATTTCTTGGGTTACCACCAATCTGGGGCTGCTCTTTTCATTCTCTTCCATTGTCACTCTATAATCCTAATTTGGACTATCTCACCTCTTTAAGAGTTTCAACTGGCATTTAAGTGCCTGTATGATAAATCTGCATCTCCAAGCTTAATGTTTTTCCTGAGCCTGGGTCCACCCATTCATCTGTTATCTGCACATCTTAACTTGTCATGTTACACTTAGTATGTCTAAAACTGAATTCATCATCAAGCCCAGCACTCCCATTTTTATCACTGATCAACAATCACATAACCAACCAAACAATAAAGCCTAGAATCATCTATGATCCTTCCTTCTCCTCTCCTTCTAGATTTTGCTTTTTTTCTCAGGTTATTTTTAAAATCATTTTTATTTTTTAATTACAATTGATGTACAATAGTACATTAGTTTCAGGTATACACTCCAGTGATTAAACATTATATAACTTACTAGGTAATCATCCTGATAAATCTCATACCCATCTGACACCATACATAGTTATCACAATATTATTGACTATATTCCCTATGCTGTACTTTATATCCCCATGACTACTCTGCAACAACCACTTTGTACTGCTTAATCCATTCACCTGTTTCACTCACCCCCCAATATCCCTCCCATCCGGCAATTGTAAAAATCTCTGTATCTATGAATCTGTTTCTTTTCTGCTTGTTCATTTATTTCACTTTTTTAGATTCACTTGTTGATAGATATGTACTTATTACCATTTTATTGTTTATATCTTTATATTTGTTTATTCTTAAAGAAGAACCTTTAACATTTCATGTAATATTGGCTTGGTAGTGTTGAACTCCTTTAGCTTTTTCTTGTCTGGAAAGCTTTTTATCTGTCTTTTGATTTTAAATGATAGCTTCCCTGGGTAGAATAATCTTGACTGTAGGTCCTTGCTTTTCATCATTTTGAATATATTTTGCCACTTCCTTCTGTCCTGCAAAATTTCTGTTTAGGAATGAGCTGGATGTCTTATGGGACCTCCTGTAGGTAAAGAATTTCTATTCTCTTGCTGCTTGTAAGATTCTGTCTTCGTCTTTAACCATTTCAGTTTTAATTATGCTATGCCTTAGAGTATACCTTTTTGGGTTTATATCTTTTGGGACTTTTTGTGCATCCTGGACTTGTACATCTATTTTCTTCAGCAGATTAGGGAAGTTTTCTGGCATTTTTCAAATAGATTTTCAGTTTCCTGTTCTCTCTCTTCTCCTTCCAACAACCCCATGACATTAATGTTGGTACACTTGAAATTGTCCCAGGGATTCCTTACACTGTCTTTATATTTTTTAAATTTTTATTTTATTGATTATACCATTACAGTTGTTTTATTCCCCCCTTCATTCCCCTCCACCCTGCACCCTCCACCCCCACCATTACCCCCCTTTAGTTTATGACCATGTGTCTCAAGTTCTTTAGATTCTATATTTCCCCTACTATTCTTGCCCTCCCCCTATCTATTTTCTACCTACCGTCTATGCTACTTATTTTCTGTACCTTCTCCCCCCTTTTCCTTCTCCCACTCCCCTGTTGTTAACCCTCCATGAAATCTCCATTTCTATGTTTCCACTCCTAATCTAGCTGTCCTTTTAGTTTGCTTTTGTTTCAGATTAGATTTTGCTTCTTGAATCATTATATTGTCTCCATCCCTACTTGCAGTATCTTAGCTCAATTTTTCATCATATCTGATGTGGCCTATTAATATAGCTCCTTTCTTTTACTGTTGTTTTATCTGCCTCCAATCTCTATGACCTTTACTATGGGCTGAATTATGTCCTTCAAATATGTTGGAGTCTTAATTCCTGGTACCACAGAAGGTCATTGTATGTCGGGATAGAGTATTTATGGAGGTATTCAAGTTTATATGGGGTCATTAGATGAGGCCCTAACTCAATATGACTGTTATGTATCCTTATAAAAAGGAGAAATGTGGACACAAAGACAGATTCACATGGAGGGAAGATGACATGAAGAGATACAGGGAAAAGATAGCCATCTACAACCCAAGGAGGGAGGCCTGGAGCAGAGCCTTCCCTCATAGCCTTCAGAAGGAACTAACCTTGTGGACACCTTGATTTTAGACTTCTATCCTCCAAAGCTGTGAAACAATAAATTTCTGTTGTTTAAGCCATCCAGTTTTTAGTATTTATGGCACCATGAGCAGACTAATATAGAGTCCAAACTAGTCTACATATTAGGATATTTCTAAAATACATGTTTTTATCTTGCCAGTTTTATGTTCAGAATCCTTCAAATACTTACAGTATTACTAAATGCCTGCCTTTTATTCACAGTCTGCCCTCAACCTAGCTTTTGTGTTTACTGCCTATGACGACTTTTCCTCATCACAGGACCCACATTAAACTAACCACTACTACTTGAACATGCCATTGGCTTTCAGAAATACCATGTGTTTGTTCATGCTATCAGGACTTCTAGAAATACCTTTCTCCTTTTTACAACATGTACTACTCCACCTCCATCTCTCCTTCTACTCCATCCTTCTCTTTTTGGTAAGCTCCTGTACATATCATGACATCCAATTCAATTGTCATTTTCTCTGTGAAGGCAGCATTATCTTGAAGTATAGGTAGGATTTGGATGTCCAGAGTAGAGCAGAAAGGGCATTCTAAGCAGGAAGAATCATATAATGAAAGGCAGGTAATGAACATTAGTATAATGTGGGCCTAGAGAGGAATGGAATAAGGTTAGGGAAGGAATGACATTAGATAATAACTCTTTGCTTTTGGTGATAATATAGGTGGGGCAAAATCAGCTGCTGGAGAAGCAACAAGGTCAATATTTTTCCTCTATAGTGTCCCAGGGAAACAGGTAGGTCTTAAAGAATGTTATTATCTGGCTGATATTACATGATTCTGAGATGACATGTATTCTGTTCCTTGGAAAGATGTCTTTCTAATAGTTCCCTCAACTAGCGGCACTTTTGTGGGTCAGTGTTGGCATGGTAGTAGAGCAGAAAATATTCAGAGGAGTTTAGAGTGTTTTTCTGCTGTAATAGAATGTAATCTGCAGTTCTGGCTATCTATATATTAACCATTTCCACATATATAAAGCAGATAGTTTTGAAAAGAGGATCAACATTCATTCTTTAATCTTATTCGCTTATTCAACATACATGCCCTGAGAACCCGCATGTGGTCAGCTTTCTGCTACAAGCTGGAAATACAAAAATGTAAGACCTTAATCTTGCCCTGGAACTCAGCTTGGAAACAAAATTCTACCAAACATGTAGTGTTTATTTGCATACTATATTCCAGGGACCATGTTGAGCCCTTTTCATGTTTCTCATATAAATTCATAATAGGTTTATACTTATTTTGTTGACAAGGACCCTGAAAGTTACAGAGAGGCTGAATAAATCCAAGGAGGGAAAACTTGGGAAATTGACAAGTAAGCAAATCATTAATATGAGCAGAAAAGATGTAGGTGACATTAGGGGTGAAGGAATCACAGAAGACTTGCTACAGGAGGTGATGTTGGAGTCTTGCAGGATACGTGAGTTTTCAAGGTAGCCAGGTATAGAAAGTAAGGACATTGTACATGAAAGGAACATCATGTGTAAGTGAATGGAGGTTCCAGAAATATGATGTACTTAGGAAATTGTGAGTGTTTCATTATGGCTGGAGCTTAAGGATGTTCTGGGTCAGTGGCAGGGAAAAAGACCAGAAAAATAGACAGAATCAAGACACAACCATAAATAAAGGACTATGTTTTTTGTGGGCACAGTATTAGGAGTACTTTCTCCAAAAGTCATTCTTTACTTTTAAGAACCTTAGGGATTACATGAA